CCTAGAGTAGCGAGATACAGTATTGGGGTCGATTATAGTTTTATTACGATTTTGAAATTTTTCATGTCAAACCAATATCATAGTTCAAGTATTAATCGTATTGGTGACTTTCAATTGATATAATACCACTACACATTGGAGCAGAGAAAACGTATTACTTTTAAATCGAACGTCTTTCTTTAAGTTCTTTATTAGTTTCATACGGTGATTCATCTACAAGGTTAGAGTCTAGAACGACTATTTCGTATCAAATACATGTATTACGAATAAAATTGACTAAAAATAAGCGTTTTGATGTAGGCATATATTTCATTACGAAAGGTCACAGGCGCTTCGACTTTTCAATATATCCTTACCTCCTGTTCAGCAAAGTTTTGATGAAACTTAATCTTTCTGTTCTTTTGGTTGCCTTAACTTTTCAAGCCGACAAAACCCATCTTAAATGGATTAACAGACTCGAAAGTGTGGACAATTAAGAATTTCATATCAAATTTAGATACTCTTTTACAGTCAGGCAATCTTTAGCCACTTTAATACTATTAATATGAAAGTTTGCAATGGAAATTGAACCATCGTGCTGAATTTCAGGAAAAAAGAATGCGCCATGTAATACAGGATAGCCCAAAAAAGAAAAAAAAATGAAAAGAAAATAATTACACGGTAAAAGCTAGATAACGATAAATTTCAGTTTTGTTTGGTATTTAAGGGATTAGAAACTTTTGATTAGATGTGATAACATCAAGAGGCATCTATACATTTATCATGCAGCTTTGCTTAATCTAAGAACACATGTATTAGAAGTTAACTACAAATTTGAGTGTGCGTGTGTTCGCCAGATACTAGGTGAATGACACAAACGCATTATTCTTTTGGAAAGAGATGCAGATGTATTTTGGTACATTAACCTCTTCAATGGGCAACTCGAATTTTTGGCGAGGCCAACGCTTAATCCGAAAAACGCCTGGCTAAAAACGGAGCAAAGGCTTCGAAACTCGCACAATTTCTTAATGTGATGATTACATTTAATGCTGAAAACTAGACAGACCATTAGTGTCGAGTTTGGGCTTCAAGGTTTTTCAACAACGAGTGCAACTCCTTTGTTGAAAGCAAAACAGTAATACTAAATAGTATGCATATCTTTTTTTTTGGAGAACAATAAATCAATTCCAGGGTGTGCTAATACAATTAATAACGGTCCAGTTATCGTACTGCAATGTAAAAATTATGTTAGTTTTAGTAAAACCTATTTTTAAGACATTTGCTTTTTATCTAAACACTTTGCTCTTAATTATGGAAAGAAGTTTGTTTCACTCAGTTTCTTTCTTTCTTTTTTTTTCCTGAACAATACATTTTTTCACCGGTAATGAAATCCCTATTACAAAGTGATCAGTTTTTAACATGCCTTTAAGTCGCATTAAAGAAGACTGATTAAATCAAAGTGTCAGATGAAAATAAAGCACCACTTAGACAGTTGAATGAATGAGCAAATTAAAAAAAAATCAAAATTGATGTTAATAGATGATAGATCAGATTGATTTGTAATAGATGATAGATCAGTTTGATTTGTTTGTAGGTTACTATACAGCTTGCAGCTTTAAAGGATTTCTGCCCAAAGTTTCTTCAATTTGTGCTTCGCCAGCTTCTTTGTCAGTCATCATTTTTTTGTTCAAGAGCTTAGCTTATAAAACTCCGTTACTTACAGCTTTGGCCTTTTTGCGTTCTCTAATTCTTAAGAAACAGGTTAAACGATTTTTTTCTTTTATTTTTGTTAATCTGAGAAATGTTAACCCTAAAAGTTGCAAGTAACAAATGTCATTGCAGTGCTTACGTACGTCTCCTTTCCAGTTACATGCAGAAGAGAGACTGGAAAGGTCACGTAGTCAATCTTNTAGCTTATAAAACTCCGTTACTTACAGCTTTGGCCTTTTTGCGTTCTCTAATTCTTAAGAAACAGGTTAAACGATTTTTTTCTTTTATTTTTGTTAATCTGAGAAATGTTAACCCTAAAAGTTGCAAGTAAGAAATGTCATTGCAGTGCTTACGTACGTCTCCTTTCCAGTTACATGCAGAAGAGAGACTGGAAAGGTCACGTAGTCAATCTTCCGATTTGAACTTGGGTTCTTTTTTTGAATACATGCTCCATCAGAATTCCGGATGAATGTGACATGTCGGCACGTAGCCACTACATTGTGAAGAGGTGAGGTGGTGCAATGAATTTCCTCTTGTGATCTCGGGACAGAGAAAAAAAATAAGCGTAATTAACGCACACGAGCAACATCAAAGACTTTGCTTGGCGCCACCGCGCTAAACATCAATTTTTCCTGTTGATTAGACAATGACAATGACAATACTACTAAATTTAGATCGCGAATTTTTTCTACAAATTTATCTTGCCATTAATGCTAAATTTAAACGTTTTAAATCGATAGCCCCAGGGATACCCTCCTCAAAAGAGAGAGAGAGAGAGAGAGCGAGAAAAAAAAAAACAAAACAAAACAAAACAAAAACAAGAAAACTAAAATAGAAACGAGTTTGTGTTTTCCTTTACGCCAGGGTACAAACTTCGTTGTGACATTTGCCTTGCTTAGTTATGGTTCATGCATGTGGAAAAACTATAACTCGGATCTTCCACCACGTGTTGCGCATAAGGTGACCTTGGACAGAGTTTTTGTCCCCTTTCATGGAAGTTACAAGTCTACATAAACACATACTGCTCTTCGATAAACAAGAATATGTTCGTCCTTACACTCAACTGAACATTACGCGGTTTTGGATTAGTTTAGATCACTTTTTGCGTACCAAGTCAAAGGTTCAATGTCTTAGCAAGCCGAAGCAATTTTAGGCCGATTGAAATAGGGGAATACTTAATGTACAGAATAATTTGTCATCCCCTTGGAAACAATGTTTCTAGTAGCTATTAACTATATAGCATATTTTTCTGACATCCGCCAATAAGGTTGTTATTGAGGTGAGCTGTCTTTCTTTTAAGGTGTCACGTTTTTCAAAATCCGAAAATGTTTTTTAAAGCTTTCAGCTATGTTTCCCTTTGGACCCTGGTTACAATTGCAAGTAAAATGTATTTAAGCGAGGCAGTAGAAAAACCCGAATTCAACGCAAATAGTATAGGAAAGTTTTCGACAACACCGAAAGGAATGCCGTATCGCTTAGCAACTAACTGATAAGAGCAACATGGAAATATCAGGAAATGCCGATCACAAAATAATAATTTACTTGGCAAAAAAAAATTGTTTAGAAGTTTAAAAAGTTAAGGAATGATTAAAGCAAGTACCGAGAGCGGTTTAAGTGATATCCACTATTTTGTTTCGACATAATGTCTTTAAGAATGGACACTAGTGACTGATTCTAAAGTAATTAAAATTTGCCTGAATATAATATTGACAACGGGAACGTTAAACAATAGCGATTCAATATAGCATAAGAGGTCCTATCGCACATAAGCACTTTGGATCTCAAAAATTGCTATCTAGACAAGGGAGAGGTTTAGTTTAAGACAGACACAAGCGAAGTAACATCGAAGGGGTTGAAGATGGCCTCCAGCATTTTTCTGCTGCTATGCGTTGTGACTTTAGTGGAACAGTCCTGTGGCCTCCCTTTACCTTACAAGGCTGGTAAGACGTTTACTTCGCATTTCTACCAGTTTTTTTTAGAATTTCAACGTCTTCGCTACTTCTAACGGTATTTGTGGAAAAAATATTTCTTAACACAGCTAAGTGACTCACACTCCCATAGTTTAGGCTCGTTGTTTTCTTGCCAATTTTTGCACTTATTTTCGACAATTTTTACCCCGCATAGTTTAAAATGGTTCATGTGATAATGAGTAATGTATGACTAAGATGATCCCAAAATAATGATCCAGCGAACTTTCCACATAACGGTCAATAACGGAAACTTTTACGTGTTCCCTTCAAAAATAGCTTTTTCTTTAGAATAACAATTTATTGCTTAGCGATACGATTCCAAGAGAAAACCACAAAATTATCTGAATCGATTATTATTTGAATTTAATATATTTGAACTGCTGAGAAACAAAGGGAAGATCATTACATAAAGAAAACCTGAAAAAAAAAAAACAGGCTTCCTGGGATGCTGACCTCTGCGATACCGGGGTAGCGCTCTCTAACCAACTGAAGTAGCAATTCAGCAGGGAGCTGGTCATTAAATTCTTGGTTCATAATATTTTCGGGGAACTGATGAAGATCAGTGAAATGATGAATATATATATACGAGTTATCGGACATAGCTACAATTCTCTAACATACCTTTCAATAGCGGCAAAAATGGTGTTCATCGAGTAAATCACGGAATGGTTTACTCATGAAATATTTTCAACGCATTTTCCAGCCGGTGAGAAGACCATAAAAGAGAAGTACCATGTGGCTGGAGCAGGGAACACAGCAAATTCGAGCTTCAAGGATTTGACTGGGATAGCAGTTGAAAGCGTATATGGTCATTTAGAAACTGGTAAGCTAAATCCCTGTTATATTTTGGTATAAAGAATGTTCTTAGTGTGTAAGCCACATTTCTGAAGATGGGTAGTTGCAGAGGGAGATGAAGAAAACGAACTTCAAGAAGGTGTTGTCTGCGAACGGGCAATACAGTATCAAAATGCCCTATAAGTGTTATATAAGAAATTGGATTGGTACCAGAATTTTAGCCATTACCGTTTTTAGAAAGATTTTCTCAACCAATGAAAGAGAAAAATGTCAAGAACTGTCACAAACGATGCGAAGATGGACTAACTTTTTAAAAGCTTTTCTTAGGTTGGGGTGAAAAGAGAATGTTATAATTATCAAGCGTGCCCTTGCATTGCATTAGCAGATGAAAATGTGATTTGTCACAAACAATGTGATGTAGGACTAACTTTTTAAAAGTTTCCCTAAGGGTATCCTTAAAGAAAATATTATTATCAGTAAGCATGCCCTTACGCTTTCCTAGCAAATACAATGTTAGGTTCAGGGTCCAATGTCGAGTAATTTGTAGCATCTGGGTTGGTCGGAAATGACTCCAGTGCCGATGGCTGCTCATACAAAGCTTGTTAATCAACCACTTACAATACAAATACAGAGGTTGACCGATCGATGCGTTTGGTTCGATCTGTTTATTAATCGCTTAATGCCAGCCTCAGCCGCGAATCGAAATTGTTATTTTGAAGAAGCCAGATGAAAATATTTATTCAAGTAATTTTGCTGAAAGGTTTAAATCAAAAAAGCAATAAATAGGAAATAAAAGAAAAATAAATAATGAAAAGGAAGGGAAACTCTATAGTAGCGTTATCGGCTTTTGATAAATAGTGTGCTAATATTCCACTGCAAATCTTGCGATCTTTTTGGCCGAACCATTCACTATATCCATGGAAAAGTCGATATAAATGATTTTTTTTAAATGGCGGATGGGGGTAAATAAGTTTTTCGCTTAGCTAATAAGAGGGGATTTATAAACATTGAGTTGCCGGATTTCCAACACACTACTATTCTAAAATCAAAGTTCTGATAAGTAAAATAGATCAGAGCACGTTATCTTCTTTCCTCAGAGATTTCAGTCCTCACGTGTTTGAGTAACAAAGAGGTTAAAGGGAGCATTGAAGGAAGGCAGAAAAAAAATATAGCAAAGAATTATTTTATCAATTTTTCACCCAGCAGAAGCGAACTAGAGTTTAAAACGCTATCAGCGTGGGATCAGTTACACATATTAGATTAACTTTAAACCTGAGCTGACCTTAACACGAAACATTCTAAGGCGTATTTTCATACTGCCCAATGGCATTTGAACAATAAGTGCTTATATTTACCGGAAAATAAATACACCGAAGACATGCTTTTGCAGAATTTTTGAGCAGTTTACTAAGAAGCTAGAAGGTCAAAGTCTTGATTTTTAATCTCTATCGGCTATGATTAGCTGCCTCCTTACAAGGGCCTCGAACGTAATCAAATATCAACCCTATCGAAATCTTGAGTTCATCTTCTAGTTGTTAAATATTACTACTGGATAATAACATCATATAATAAAAAGCTTTATTTTAACAGTAGTTTATACTAGTTATAAAGCAGATTTATTCAGAGGTCGCTTTAATTGTGAAAGATTTAAAACTTCGCTTATACTAAGCGAAAGAAAACGGCGGCGACTTCTCGGATATAAACAAAATCAAAAACAACAACAGCACAGCATGAAACGTTTTTTCTATGTCAATATTGGTTCGATAACTGTCATAGTCAAATCTTTTTGGTAAAGTTAGGCCCGCCGGTTCAAACACCGAACTGTTCATGAGCTGAACCTAATTCGAATGAAAGCCGACCCAAATTGCTCAGACCGGCTGAATTGATTCAGATGCCGATCTTCATTCCAGCTAAACTTTAAAAAGGAGAAATAATGATTGTTTGGTCAAATGTTTTGCGGAATACGTCATAAAAATTGATGGATTAGGTTCGGAACATGAGAAGGGTCGGTGTCTGCATTAAAGCCATTCCAGTGTTGCTTCAAAGAAGAAATTGCCGATCTTTCCACTGTTGAAATAGGCGTTCCTTATTGATTCAAACACCGAACGTTTCATGTATATGAAACCGGGCCTTAGTTAACCTTCCTTGGTTGTTCATAGTTAATCGAGGACATTGATTATAAAAGGTCCAGTTTATGTTGGAAGCTTGTTAACGGTACACAATCCTTAAATTCTACTAAACGTTCTGCACTTTCTAAGAAGAAGTCTGACGGGCTTCTTAGCCATTCCACTCTGTTAACTATACTTCAAATGGTTGAAGCAACAGGGAACATCGTTAAAGGGTGAACATTTCAGATTTAGTTACAATAAAAAGTCTGCAAGTGTTCTTATTATGTTGGATCAACACATTTCCTAGTGTTTCAATTCATGGTCGGTATATCAGAAAAAAAAACACACACACGGAGATACAATTTGCGCTTCTTCGCTTTCTGGATCATAACCAACGCTGCATTCAAACTGTCGGGCATCCAAACTATACTAACACTGGAATAGAAAAACCACACAGGCACACACACAAAAACAAATACACTGAGCAAATACACTTTTATGTGGGGGGTAGGGGGCAGGGGCTGCGGGAGCCCGGGAGAAAAGGGGGTGGGAGGGGTACGGGAGACGGGAGAAGAAAGGGCGGCAAGCGCAAGAGAAATTCAAAAATGCGAGCTTTCGTTATTTGTTACTGCTTACATCCAGTCAAAGAAACGAACCCAACAACGTTTTTCGACTTCTATTTAACATTCTCCGAGGCTTAAAGAAAAATTTCATAGGCGAGAAAAGTCAAAAAACGAAAATTCGTAATCGGGATAAAAAAAAAAAAACACCATTACTTCCAGTGAAATTGGAAACCTTTCCAAGTCGCTTACATCATAGTTCATGAATGAGATGGCATGACAATGTAGGCGTGTGTCGACTGTGTCAGTCGTGTCAGTGTCTCTTCGGTCTCGCTAGCTTTCGAAATTCTCCGTAAGAACGACAAATCGAGTCAGGTA